GGGTCAGAGCATCTCCAAATGGCAGGTCATGTGGGGTGTTCCCAATATACATAATATATATAAGCATTATGCTCTGGGACCCACCTCACAACTTACAGAACTTAAAGGATCTGCTGCTAACGTTTTGGTATCAGATACCACAGCATACCTTCAGAGGTATTGAGGAGTGCATGCCTTGACGGATCAGAGCTGTTTTTTATGGCACAAGAAGGACCTACACAATATTAAGCAGGTGCTATTAATGTTATGGCTGATTGGCGTAAAATAGTCTGCACACCCCAGGTGTTTTAACAAAGTGTTAGTTAAGGGGTGTGCATACTTATGAAACCAGATTATAGCAAGTTTGTTTTCTTTTTCTTTTTTCCCCTAAAATGTTTCTATTTGTTTTTCACTTGAATTTTGTTGGTTGCTATATCACATTAAAGATGGACACGGTGTATCTTGGTTAATTTTTTTACCTCACAAAATCCTGCAGTTGTAACAGGGGTGTGTAGACCTTTTATAACTGCAATGGATATAAATTTAATGGCAAACCTAAACGATTCAAATCAATGTCATCAGCTTTATGGTAACACAATTTCACGACAGAACATTATAATTTTCCAATTTTCCATTTACTAATGAATGAACTTTCACGCATAGTTTAACTGTTCATAGTTACATTTAATATTGTGGAACATCTGCAAGATAAACTAGTCCCTGTTATCACTGACGATATTGCAGCTATTAACGGCCGTTCCCTCGTTTTCTTCTCTTTTTCTCTTATTTCTTTCCTCCTAGTTTTCTGGATGGACACTATTGTCACCAAGCTTCAATATTAGTTTAGCAGTAACATATACAAGGAAATAATTAGGTAGATAGTGAAACGTTTTTTGTCATCATAGAGACAAGGTATATTAACAGTAAACAATATAAACATCATGTCCTGGTTCTGGAGTAACCCCTGTCGTGCATATTTCAGTGTATTATCTAACACAACCACTTCACCAGAGGAAGGGCTGTTAATTAGCTAATTAATTGGATTAGTTGTGTTGGGAGCAGGGAAAACACTCAAATGTGTAGGGCAGGGGTACTCCAGAACCCCTGGGAACCTACCAACCCTGGGAGGAATTGGTTAAGAATGCTGACATAAGTGACTGAACGTCCACAGAAAATGATATTTGTTGTAAGCTGGTATACTACAAAAATATCAACGAATGAGCACTGCTCTTTTATTTATTGATTCATTCACACTAACTGCTTTATCCTGGTGAGGGATGCTGTGGATCTGAAGCCTATGCTTAAGACAGGAATTATACCCTGGATTGAACACCAGTCCATCACAAGGCACCGTACACACACATATTCAGTGTGTGGCAGTTCACTGTCAATTTTGTGTTACCAGTTTGATTACCAGTATGGTTTTTGGGAGATGGGTGGAACTTGGAAAATAAACCCAAAGGGAGACAGAGAGAAAAAGGCAAAACTCTACAGGGTGGAACTCTCGAACCAACATGCTGGCCTCAGTAAGAAGCCTATAAATGAAATCTAATCACACGCCATTGTGAAAACGGTGTCATTGTTGCAAATTTGTTTTTTTAGCAGGAATGAGAGAAGTTGATTTTATTGAATATTACAGCAGCACTTAGCCATGCCTCTTGATAAAAAGTATTTATTCTTGCCACAGCGACACTCTTCTACAATTATCCAACTGCGCCAAGGACAACAAAAACACAGAGAATCTGTGTCTAACACCCACATGTACCAATGTTGTGATCTTTATGGCTGACTTTTTATTTGCTTTATGATCATTAAAATATGGCCCTTGGAGAGTATGTGTATGGTTGTAATTATATGAAAGAATTGTTATGGCATCTGCCTGGCTGTTATCTTCCAGAGTAAAACTACAGCACAATAAGAAAGCGTATTGTGAGCCACTGAGTCTTATTGAGAGATGGTCTCATTAATGAGCTTCGTAATCACTTCCCCTGAATTACTTCCTAGGTTAGCAACCTTGGTATCATCCTGGACTCAGAATGATGCTTAACCAAGCAAACAAATTTGGTCGTTAAGACTAGTTTTAATCAATTACGGATTATTTCCAAACTTAAAACATTTTCGCCTTTCTGAAATTTTTAGAAGGTTATTTATGCTTTTATCACATCGCGCTTAGATTATTGTAATTCATAGTACTTGGGTCTTCCTTAGTCATCTCTTGCTCGTCTCCAGATGGTTCAACATGGAGCTGCAAGGCTGTTGACCAGGGCAAAGAAATATGATCATGTCAAGCCAATTTTAACATCGCTCCATTGGCTCCCATTGTCTCCATTGGCATATGCATTTTAGGATCCAGTTTAAGATTATGTTGTTTGCCTTTAAATCTCTTAATAATCATGCTCCTTCTTATCTCAAAGATCTTCTCACACCACATTCATCTAGCAGATTTTTAAGATCTTTTGATAAGTGGGATAGAAATTTTTCAGTCGCCGCCCCTCATTTATGGAATCAGTTGCCACTGGATATCCGCCTTGCACCTTTTATTATCATTTTTCAAAAGAGGCTGAAAGCGTATCTCTTCTCCCTGGCATTTTAATCCAATTTTTAAATATTGTTTATTGTCCGTCTCTATTTGGTTTTATTCCGTTTTCTATTTAACTTTTTCTTACTCTGTTCAACACTTTGGTCAGTTTTGCTGTGTTTAAATGTACTGTATAAATAAAATTGACTTACTTACTATTGAACCCTTCAGTAATAGTAGAAAGCACTTAATAGCACCCAATACAATGTCATGTATAAGGTTTTGAGTGCTTATAGAATTCAGTTCAAAAAACACTATCAGTTTTAGGTTTGGGAGTAAAGTCTAATTCTAATGCTGGCATGTAGTCAGCATTGTATAATTGCTGGCCTCATCAGTGTGCTCAAATCCGGATATTCCATATCTGGTCTATTAATAGAGACGTGTGTAAAGAAGGTCAATGTGAAATCAGTGTCTTTAAGGTTCCCTATATTATCCTGCCACATGGTTTGTGATGTTGCTCGGTGGTTGGATGGTATGATGGATATTGTACGATGGCTCTCATGATAGAAGACTGGGACGTTCCCTACTGTGAAAAGAGGATAAAGGAGGATGATGTATCTCTCAGAGAGACTTTGTCCTGCTGCTGGCTCTTCCCTTTTTTTTCCACCACCCAGATTAACAGCCATTATAAAAGCACGGCATGCAGAGAACACTTTATATGACTGAAACTGTAAAATGGCACAGCAGTACAGCTCGGCTCTTTTGCATAGTGGAGGTCTTAAAGCACACTGTTCTAGCACTGTTAAAGGCTCCACTGTAAATACTGCATATCAGATGCTGTTTCAGTACGAGTAGGTGTTTCTTACTGGAATTTCATCTTATTACTTCTTATGATTGGCTGTCTGCTCTGTGGATTTTAAGGATTAATGGTCAGGGTTGTGATGCACTCTCACTATAGGGTGTGTGTAAGCAGTGTGTCAGTGTACCTCCTCACTGTATCAGTGGGGCTGAAGCATTTTCCTCTCCTCAGCTGCCCTAGAACACACACACACACACACACATTCTAGACATTCACTTTCATACACATACAATTTAGGATTTAGATTATTTAGTCACCCGTGTTTCATCTAGGTTTTTGATTTCTAGTACGGTCATTATGATTCCGACAGTATGACCATTTCCTGCATAAAACAAAAATATTATCATTTTTAATCATAAAACCCATGCCCTTAATGTATAATGTTTAACTTGCCATGTTTTACTTTTAGTCACCTAGTATGAGTCTATCGACATATTCTTTTATTAAACATTTTGGCTAAATGATCTTTTATCTTACTTTATGTAGCATAGGAGCTTATCATGACATTTATGCTACATGTTATTTTATCAGATTTTTAATCAAATAGAAAAAGGCTAACATAAACACTTTAAAAAGTGATGTTCAAAGTGAAGTTAAAGGTGACTTTACGTGTAAGTAGTTATTTCCAAGAGGCACTTATTTCTTCACCTATCAGTCTATCTTTGAAAATGGCATTCTTGTAGTTTCCTTTCCTTAAAAAAGTGACAGAATTTTCATCTTCTGTGGTTTATGTAATAACAAGACAGTATAAGTGCTTTTTAGAGGTCATAATGTTTGCTCTGTTTGTGGCATTATAAAATCGGCTGATTGATTTTAAAACTACATCTCAGGTTTAAAAAAAATGAAATAGACAGTCCCTCCAGGGTTTTAACGCAAAATCAAGAAAAGCAATATTCACAAGAGCTTGCGATTTTTCAAAATGAAAGTAGATTTTCTGCAAACTTGGGCCAAGACGAGTCACATGATGTCATCACAATGCGCCATGTGACATCATCACAACGTGCATTCAGGTAAAGCCCTCTTTGATTCACATGCGTTGAACATGAGTACAGCTAAAAGGTCTCATTTACCAACAAACCTCACCGCAAAATAGCGTGCAAAACAATTTCGTGCAGTTGCAGTTTTGCTGATTCGAGTAGTTTTCCACAAATAGCGCGCAAAGTTTAAAACAAGCGAAAGATCACGAATCATGAAAAACTGCATCAAATATACTACAGACTGAAATAGATTCAAAAGACAGATTTTTTTTATCACAAATTTTTGGTGCTGTTAATATTTTTCAATTAAAACTGATAAGCCTGTGTAAAAGTCTGATTAGGATTTTTGCGCACCAATGCAGAATATTTTGAAAGAGTATTAACTTCATTGGTTTGTTCATAAGGAACTCAGGAATTTATGCTTTCGACATAGGAAGGCAAGCAAAACACACTCACTATTCAAATGATTAAAACTTGTACTGTAACTAGAGAATATGGACACAGAGTATGAAGTAGTTTATAATAGATGTTTAGTTAGCTAACTGTTGTTTTTTATACAGACCGTTTAATGGTTGAGTGACTGTGGAGTTAAGACCAAACTGTTAGGAATAGGAGCATTTCCCTTAGATGTGTTGTTAACTTATTAAAAATAGACTTCACATCACTGGGCCGTGGTGTCTCAGTGGTTAAAGGCTCTGGGTACTGATTAGAAGGTCAGGAGTTCAAGCCCCAGCACTGCCAAGCTACGCTGTTGGGCCCTTAACCCTCAATTGCTCAGGTGTATAAATGAGATAAATGTAAGTCGCTCTGGATAAGGGTGTCTACCAAACACTGTAGATGTAAATGTACTACATTAGCATAGCATCAGAATTCTGAGGTATTTGATCATTTTAGACTTCTGAGGTGGTGAATATCAGAAAACTGAACATTTGAACAAAGCATAAGAATTGGATATTTTCCTCATCTATTATGCAAACTCAATCTTTTGAAATGGTGCTAACTCACACAAACGTTTAGACTCGCTCGCTCGCTTACTTCTCAGTCCAATACACACTTAACACACACACACACACACACACACAGGTGTGGTGGCTGGGTCCCATCAGAGCTTCGCTCCACCCTACACCAGGGGGCAGGTAGCTCTTGCCAAGCATTTGAGTTTTCTTCACCAGTGGCTTCAGCTAGCACACGCTTGCTAATTAATCACAGCTGCGGCCGTTTAGCTCTTAAAATGTGATTTGAGGTGTCAAAGATCAAACGTGCAGAGGTTTGTTAACAGCCCCAAGGATTGTGTGTGTGTGTGTGTGTGTGTCACATAATTGCTAGGTGATGAATTTTACAGTGAGATTTGAAACTCTTATTACATAGGCTGTGTGAGAAGAGTGCTAAGAAAAGGCTCTCCGTCCACGGCGTTGTTTTGACACAAGCCCTCAAAAAGGTTACACAAATCTTCAAAGCAACTTTCAGCTTTGCGGATCCGCCATGTTTGCTTGCTTTTTGTGCCCAGGGCCACTGCCTTCCTCTCTCCCTGTAAATCCTCTCCTCTTCCTCCCCGCCATAATCCACAATTAAGGTGAACGGCAGACCTCGTGGATGCCGCAGCTCTCGCCTGTCATATTTTTAGAATTATAGCTACCAGCCATGCAAATCGTGGCATGGAAATTGTAGGTCTCAGAAGAATTCGAGGTGGCATGTTTTATTAAAAGGTTGTCAACAAATGAGCAGGGAGACTTGTTCGAGACCTTGAGGCTCCTTGTATTCTGCTGAGCCAGATCAAGTATTATCAGAAACCTGCAATTACATGTAAAATTGAAATTATTTGTTGTCAGCGCTGTTGTTTCACACCTCTCTCTCGTTCTGCATTTGCATATGCAAAATGGTTTAACTGCTTTATAAAAGATGTTTAATATATTGAGGTTGAAGTCAATGTTGTGTTGACCTATCTGCCAGAGGTTTTCCTCCCGGGAGGATAAAAATCTCGCTTAAGATAAACTTTGCTCTATCTCCAGAGACATGGGATATCTCAGTGGTTTAATTAAAGAGCAGTGACTTGTGAAGCCTTTCTCCTGAATCTTTCTTGAGACAAATGAGACTTAAATAAGAAAGATCATATTTAGTCATATATGAAAATGAATCAAGAGTAATAGATCAGTGAGATCTGAATATAAGCTGAATAGAATGCTCTTTAGAGACGTATTTAAAAAATTATACACTTTTCTTATTGAAATATTATTCAGTAATGACAGAAAAAGCACAGGTAAAATGCTCTGTGAGATTTTTTTTGGATAGTACTTATCTTTTAATGGAAGATAGACATAAATAGATGAGAGATAGATAGATGGGAGAAGAATTTGATGAATGATGCAATTTCAGAAACATGAAAAAAGAATCTTAAACTGATTTTAAATATGGCTTAACCACAGGGAGATACATCATGGTAAAAACAGGACATGAAGATATGTGTTTTATCTATGCTTTATATAACCTAACCTTACCTAGTAAGACTCAGTACAACCGCACACCCCACCTTACTTAGCTGCATCACTCACTTTATATTATGGAACTCATTTTTGCTGCTAATATTGCTACTATACGGTTTACAGTCCATGTTCTGTGTATTTATTGTTTTGTTCTGTGTATTTATTGTTTTGCACTCGTCCCACACTGTTTTATTTGCCCTTTATGTAGTCTTGTGTACTGTTCTGCGTTGCACCATCGTCCTGAAGAAACGTCATTTAGTTCCAATGTATATAAGCTATATAGAGGAATGACAATATAAACCCACTTGACTTGATATACAGTCAAAAAAAAAGAAAAGAAATGATTGCACCCCATGGAAATTTTTTTTTAAACATATTTGGACAAACAAACATTTGATCATTTTTGAAACAGCCTATTAATTAAGTTGATATACTTGAATAAAACCACAAGGTAAATGAGCTTTTTTTGATCATTTATTCAGAAATGATCATTTATTCAGAATAGAAGTTATATTCTTCTGAGGAAACCCTTGGCCTCAGAAACTAATATCGCCCCCTTTAACGGAAATAACGCCTTGAAAGTGTTTTGCATAATTGTCCACCAGGCTTGCTAGAATGTTTGACCACTCTTCCATGCAATATTCTTTCAGCTGCAAGATGTTTGAGTGTTTTCTTGCATGTATTGCTCATTTCAAATCCCCCCCCACAATCTTGAACACCTGATTCTAATTTTATTGATTTGAAGGTGTGATAAATGCCAGTATGTACTTACTTTTTCCATGTGACCGATCTGTTTTTTGTTCGTTTAAATTGTGAAAATGACTACAATAAATTCCTCCGCCAGTCCAAAGGCATGCACGGTAGGCTGATTGTTGTGTCTAAAGTGTCCGTAGTGTATGAATGGGTGTGTGAGTGGGTATGTGATTGTGCCCTGCGATGGACTGGCACCCTGTCTAGGGTGTACCTCGCCTTGTGCCCGATGCTCCCTGGGATAGGCTCCAGGTTCCCCGTGACCCTGAAGAAGTAAGCGGTAGAGGATGGATGGAGACTCATTTTATAGAGTTGCTCAACTTTATTAATAGGCACTGTTTCAAAGAGGATGAAATGTTCGCTTGTCCAAACATGTCACAAAAAACAGAAACTCAACAATTTTCATGGGGCGTATTTATTTTTTCACATGACTGTATTAAATCTTTTAGTTTGGGGTTAATTGTGTAGATTTTTGGCTTCGTCTGTTTTCAGGGTAATTCAGGCCATGGCAGGATTTACGCTGCACCTGAGGATGTGAAATCCTTACTCTTGCATCACTGTAACAAGAAGGTTTCTCTTAAGCCCTAACTGGATGGGATTAGTTTCACTGGATGACGTCTGTAATAACTTTTTTACACATGATAAAACTCGGACGGCGATCTAATTAATGTGCGAGGGACGTGTTTCTGCCAGGTTGTTTTGTCTGCGAACCCAGATGTATCACACATGGTCATATTATCATGTTTATTTATTTGGCAGCATCTAAAGTTAAATCAGAAACTTGCAGCAATACACCTGCTCATTCATTTATTGCTTGAAAATGAAGCGTTGGGTGGTATTTTGGTATATGTGACCATGAAGTGGCTTTATACCTGAAGCTGACATTATAATAGCCCCTTTAATCAGTCTTCTTGATGGAGCTCTTCTGATTGATTTTATTTTCTTCCTTCTGCTAATGGGCTCCTAATGTAGGCAGTGCAGAGTCTTACAACCCGCACCAAGTAAGTTGTTTGAGACTTCGCCAAAGCATTCATATTTTCAGGATTTGGGATGTGAACACGCATGTTAGGTGAATAAATAAACTTCTTTTTTTCCCCCCAATACAAGTAAAATGATCACCAGATCTATCTGGATGGGACTAAAATGATCAAATGAGTGCAGGCGGTCACAAACAGTAGGTAATTTGGTCTGTAAGTTTCTCAGGGGAGGAGGGAGAAAAAACATAGCTGAAATAAAAACATGCAAATGACGGAATTACTCCTGGTCGCGATGTAAATCGAATCCCATCTGAATAGAGCTTTAGCGCTCTGTTTAGAAAGATCAGTGATAGACAGATGCGCTTTGTGTAAAATAGTGTTTGCACATGGCGCATAATTTATAGTTTCATAAATTTCACAAAAGTTTTTGTATAAGGTGGGATAATATTTGTAATGTGCTCTATTCAGTCCTGAGCCTTCCGGTGTAGAGTGAATGACTGTACTGGTACATAGTATAATTCTGTGACATACAGTTACACACACAGTGTTTTACAACTCCTGCACCTGATGTACTCATACCAGCGTCACTGTCAATGCAGTACTGAGAAGAATCCACCAACCAAATAATATCTGGTCAGCCATGACCTTATGGTGGTCTCTTTCCAATTATGAGGCTGACAAATTAAGCACTGCAACAGATGGGCTACATCGCTAATTGAACATCTACAAAGTGACCTATATGGTAGGTGATAAAATGGCCACTGAGTGTATAATTGCATCCAGCTGGCTTGTTCAACTTTTTTTTGTCATTTAAACCCCCAGCCCTAATACGCCCCTCACACTTCTTTTGAAATGCAATGATAGCTATTTAGGGTGCAAACATAAATGCATAAATATAAACAATTTTGACTGATGTGCTCTGGATGAAAAAAAAATTCTCACTCTGTATGACTGGAATGCATAAATACAGTAATGAATAAATACATTGATAATATTGTGAATGCATTACCAGGTGTTGTATTTTGTGTGGATTGAGGCTCACCTGACGTTCTAATCAATGCCAGTGAAATGACCTCTCATGCAAATGGTGTGAGATGTTTGCCCTCAAATATTCACACAAAGCTTTAGAAGATTATGTTCTAATTGGTGCAGGAACCATCTGGCTAGGCTCCAGCATATCAATTACTTTCACTGCTTTTCTAAACTAATAGAGCATAATTACTATTCTTTTGCTCTCATTAATAGGATGCCGAACACCAGCACAATGTCAGTAACTGTAGCGACGCAGCTCTTGGAAGTTATTTCAAAGATAAAAGTCTGTGAAGTCAGTGGCAATTTTTCATTTTCTCTTGCTCTATCTCGTTCTCTCCTGCTATGAGTGCCAGTGTCACAGATCCACATGCCTGTGGTGCATCGTGCAGCAAATCAAATATGACAGCAAGGGCTGTAGACATCATGGCAAATGTGAAGAGACAGAGCTACTGTACACACACACACACACACACACACAAATAGCCTGGGGCTTAATTGAACA